TGTCTAATTATCTAATAATGTTCCTTTTCTTCGTATTATTATTTTATCTTCATTTTCGAAGAGAAAAAGACAGGAAAGTCAGAAATGTTTGTATTCTTGAAGTCCATTTTAGGACAGGTGTAAAAATTACTATATATTAATAAAAAAAACTTGCTTTTGACATTGTTCTCACTTTGGTCACCTTTATATCCTTTGGAATCCTACCAGATCATTTATTATAACATATGCAGATTATATTAAATATTCTGGTAGCGCTCCATATAAAATTTTTCTTTCATTTTGTAAAATTTACATATTACATTTGTTCAATTACAAATATCTTTGTATTAATATTACACTTTTTAAAGAAATATAAATCCCACCTAAATACCCTCAAATAATAAGGTCACCATGGCATGCAATTTTAGTTTGAATCCATGACCCAGAAATCTAATTAGCAGAATATATTTAAAAGAAAGAAAATCAATATTTTTCATTTTTTTGAACAGCAATCTGAACTTAGAAGTCGTACGAACTGTTGTGATGATTTTTCTTGATTGCATGGCTCTTCATATGGTAACCCAATGCTTTGTCTAATTCTATTTGAAGTGTTTTATTATTAAATTTTCCCTTATAGTGATGATTTTAAATTTGATGAAGCAATGCCTCGGGGAAGGGCTATTGTTATTTTGAAACTTATTGCCATTTGAAAATCAATATGATGAGAATAGCTCATCAATTAATAGCGAATGATAGAATGTTTAAAATTCAGTTATTTCAAATTCTCTACCTACAAAAAGTACACATCTTCCTAAAATGATTTAAAAAATACAACAAAACCTGTAATCTACAAATCAAATAAAACGATATTATAAGTTTATAATCTTATATTTAAGTTCATAATCCAGGTAGCTACCTCAAATATGTCATATCTAAATTTATTTACCATTTATTAGCTGTGAGATCTATTTTGTAATTGATGGAGATATGACGCTTCAGTTTGGACTAGAAACTTAAGGCAACTTTTACATACACAGCTTGCAAAAATATCTTGTCCTAAAAAATAATCTAATACCTGATACAAACAATTGACTGTTGATGACAAAATACTGCTTGGAATTAATTTTAAAATAGGACTTTTTTAAAACGATTGATATTTAAAATTTTTGTACCTATTATAATTTAATTATAATCATGTACTACTTGTAAAACGTACAAAAATCCAGTGCAGAGATCTAATCATTCTAACTTAATACTTGTTTGAAAGATTTAAAATCTATTACCTTCAAGATTTATAATCAAGTTTTTGTTGTTTTCTTAAAACACTTATCGAGCGATGACTCAGTATGATTTACAAAAAGTTCTTGTACTTTAAATAACTCGGAAGGTGTTAGCTGATGTGAAGTGATATAATTCAAATATTCACAATACTCGAATGCTCTTTTTTGGTATGAAAATAGTGGACTATGCAGGGGTTTAATTTTTGCTTTATAAGCACAGATTCCTAAAAGACAAAAATAATTTAATAATAATTCAATGATGAAATAACTTTACTAACAAATGGTGCCCAATACAAATTAAATTTACTATTAATAATTAATAAATTTACTATTGGATACATCCTAAACTGATAGAATATTACCTGTAATGTATATATCTTCTAAATGAAATATCGGTGTAACAAGAGCTGTTTTATACAAAGTGTTTGCAGTCTCAATAGACATAACATATCCTGTTCCTGATAGATACGGTGGGTAAACCTTTCCACTATACATGTACTGTGGAGAATACCTGGAAGCATCATTATTAGTATTGATATAAAAATCTAATAAAATTTAAAATAAATTAGTATAATTACATAGTAAATACAATAATAATTTAGCTAACGTTACTAATACAAATACCAACCATTTATTTGCACTATCTGCAATCGGCTTGGCTCCTTTTATTAGACTACCCATCAACAAATGATTATTTTTGTTACTATTAAAACTAGAATTGCTGGCAAGATTGGTGTTACTTGTATTCTTCAGATTCAAGCATTTCAGTTCATAAATTAACTTATTAACATTAACAAACATATCATCATCAACTTTCATTAAGTATTGAACTAAAAATAATATTAAATTAAATTAGTAAGAGTTATTTCTTGGAATTAAAATTTTTCTAATTACTTTGTACATAATAATATTTACTACTAAAGTCTGCTTAAGTTATTATTAAGACCTCAGATTCACCTGAATGTGAGCAATGAGAAGAAACCCATTTTAGCATCATGACTGATTTCAATGTGAGATTATTATAGCTATCAATGAAGTTTTCTTGTATGATATCTTGATATTGTTCGCTTTCTATATCGACTAGATGTTGCAGTTCAAAATCAGTATCATTATCAATATGTGGCTTGCCCAATAAAAATAAAACTTTAACATTAACACTTAAATTAGAATTTAATTCATCACATTTATCTTTCAAAGCTGCATCCTTGACGCCCTTAGGGGTCATTTCATCTTTTCTATTTCTTTTACTACTTGCATGATAAATATTACTATAATACCTATATAAGGTACCCCAGTCATTTGGAATAAAAATATTATCGGTACTATTATTATCACTGGCCACAGAAGTTACATTTATATTATGCAACTTTAAAGCAGCTATTTTTTTAATATAAGCTGGATAATCCAACTGGTTTATATTTCCCCATGTTGATCTTATGGCTTTTCTTTCCTCAAAGTTTTTGACTGCCGAACAAACAACTATCATTAAAAAAATAGGCCCATTGTCTACAAGCTGTGTGCAGACTGAATTAGGTTCATGCAGAGCAGTCAAATTTGGTTTAACATATGTGCTCAGCTCACGAGATGTATTGTAACTCCAGCCAGGTATTGAAGCTAGAAATATATTTAAATGATTAAAAAGAAATTTACATATTTTCGACTTAAGGTGTAATGTTATAAAAATTGCTAAATTAAATAATATAACCATGCAATACCATATTGTTTAAATTGTTCATTAAAAAATTTGGTATAAAATAAATACATCTATAAAATCCACAAAAAAACAAAATCAAGTCAGAATATAGGAATTTACACAACAACCTACTAAATGTATGATTAAGATAAAAATGTATGCATTACATAGTTGAAAATGCAGATAATAGTTGAGAGATAAAGAATATACTAGGATACTCGACATACAATAAGTTTTGATCAAAATAGTAAATACTTAAAAAGGTACTAAAGATGTTCTATATTTGTTAATTCAATTTCAGAACCTATGTTATAAATTTTATTACTAATAGAGAAATAATATACAATTTATATTCAAGCAAAAAATATACTAATATCATACCACAATAATAATTCAAAATCTGAATATTTATCATTCATCACATCACCAACCAACTACAGTATATTTTTATGCAACAATAATAATTATATATAACAACTAAAAAATAATTTCATTACTTTCTTAAACATATCAGTAGCAGACTTAAGATACAGATATCCAGGTATAAGTACTAAAAGTAATCAATAAAAATAGAACTAAAAGTAATCACAAGAAAGTTTTCAGTGATTTAATTGGACAAAATTTTCACAGACGCATAGATTTTCTGCTGCGAGAATACATGGGTAAAAGAGTAGTAGAAACAGCTGATATACAACATTGTATGTAGTAAGATGTTACATGTCATAATCCTGGTTCAAAAATCGATCAAATTGATTTGAAACTGGCTAGTATGATATCTTTTGAAGACTACAGCAAAAAAAGATAGAACCCAGTAGAATTAAGATGCAAATTATAAAACAGTAGAAACAAATGATCATAGGATTGATAAACAATGTTTGTAAATAGCAAATTAAGATAAAAAACTATATCAAGTTCTGTGAAATATAAGTGGCATTTTGCAATCAACTTAATTGCATTTGACTTAACAAAAACTGAGATTTAGCAACTTTGAAAATTGTTACAATAACATTTTTAACTGTTTATTTCAAAAATAAAGTTTTCCAAAAAATGCAATTTCCAATTGATATCTCTCAAACAAACTCATAATATGCATAATTATAGTGCAAAACTTACATGCTTGTATATTTTATAAGTGGAACTCATTACTTTAATGTTGAATTAATTTTTATAATAAAACCACTTTTCATATACTTCTAATGTTCTAGAATGTTTAAAACTAAATATTTTTTTTTAAATTATGAAAAGACAACCTGTGTGATCTTTACCATTTATGAATTTTCTTCAAACTTCTCCTTCAAAGAGTTAATAAGTTGTTCAAAATGAATAAATTAATAATGTTGTGTTATTAGTAATCATGCAAGTCACAACTTAAGGCCTATTCAATTTATCTAAGTGGAAGATACCCGCACAGCTAAAGCTAAGCAATGCATACCTACAACATCCAATGATGCAGATTTGGTATTCTCACCTATCCTCGACGGCATAATATGGTGATACACTGGTATATATAGCAATAGCAATATTGCCAGTGTCACCATGCACATTAATAAATACCTCTTGATACGAATATTAAAACCATTAATGTGCTTGTTAGCAAACTGTTGACCACATACATGGACGGTAGGAACAGATATTCCTGAGCTGCAATCATTATAGTTGTTGGATCTATGCGTTCGATAACTATTTCGAATAAGTAATGTTTCTTCTGATTGTAAATCAAATCTCTCCATCTAAAACATTTCAAATTGTAAATAACACATTTCAGTTAAAATAAATAAAACCAAACATGACAATGTAGTTGACATAAAGATCAATAATTAAAATTACTATACATTATTATTATATTGCACTTGCACAAAAATGTATACAAATTCAATTTTATTCATCTACTGACAACTATCTAGTGAGTTTCCTGCAAGTTATTATTCAAATGTATTCACATACAGCATACAAAAAGCAAAAATTAACATAACTTTTATACATATACTCAGTTAAATTAAATCATTTACAAAAACAAATATTAAACAAAGAAAACTGTAATCACTCACTTAATTATTATATAAAACTTTGTTAAATGAAAAACTACATCGCATTAAAAATCACTCAGGTAGCTAGCAGCATGTAAACTGTTATTTGATGAAGGTAATTCATTTTTCACTATTTCATTGCAATAAAAATTTTAAAAATTTCATAAAAATTTATTATTCGAATGATAATATCGAAATGTCAACAGAACATAATGTTTAACACAGGCTATGAATTATAAATAAATATAGATCGGAGTTTCACCTATCGGAATATTTCTGAACTACGGCAGATTGCAAGATGGCGGTAAATTTAAAAATTGTTGGTTTAAAAATTATTACATCAAATACATTTTATAGATAAATAAGCATATAAATTTTGTACGTTTACATCATAAAAATTTTAAGTAATAATTAATTACAGTTATTATAAATTATTACAGTATCACAAAAAACTTATCTCTGCTTAGAACAATCTATCTGCTTCACCACACCAATAAAAAAGAATTCAATTTAGCAATTTTTTATTTTAAAACTTATTCTATTTTTCAAACATTTTTTTTAAAATTAAACTAATAGAAAATCAACATAAACAATTTAGGAGTTATATTTGTGTCATTTTCATATATTATTATTTTGTTTATGTACAAGTACAACTAATATTGCACATGAATAACGTACATTTGCATATATACAACATTATACGACATAATATATATATATATATATATATATATATATATATATATATATATATATATACATCTGCTCTGGCACCAGACAGTAGTCTTTATATTAATCTTAATATATTACATTTATTACAATGGCCATGATGATTTACTTGCTATATTTTATACATCAGTAATTGTATCTTATTTCTTAATAATTAATTTTCCTCTATAGCCGGAAAACGCCTAGTGGATTATATGATGATCTACCGAGATTGTTATACATCTTTTGTACATCTGCTCTAAGAATGACGACACCTGAAACAATTATAATTTGTGTAAGATGTCAATTCTAGTAATACATGAAATATTTCATTTGTCAATAGTCTGCTTTTTACCGTACTGTTACGGAATATTGCGATAATATATAATTATTTTTGCGACACAAGTCAAGACTAGCGTACTTACCTGATGGGTTAACTTTTACTTTTATTTTCGTATCAGAGCTAAGCACTCCGTAGTCGACGTCTTCGTACAGATCCTAAGATAAAAAATTAAATTAAAGAATGAAAATACAAATAAGAAAGAGTATTTATAAATTTCTTAAATGATACTATAAAAATAGATTAAAAGTTAGAATAAAATTAAATCAAATTTCTCTCCATTGAAAGTTTTACTAATCCAGACTCGGTAGATCCGGGGTTTACAACCTGTTATGCGTGCTTCCTTAGGGAGGCCCAAGAGTATTCCAAGGGTATCTGTTTCCAAAATACTATTTTCAAAAATAAACTAAATATGTTAAAATGATATTGAACTAGTGGTGTATGGCATCATGCCTTAAGGCAAATTGCTGGAACTTCCCGTACCGTAATGAAATATTCAAAGAATATTAAATGTTTTCAAATAGATTATATTTTCAAATATTGTAACTTATATATGTTTACAGAAAACTAAATAAACAAAACTTAATCAATCGAATTTAAAATAAATGACATTATAATATTTATTAAAACAAAAAAATTAAAAACAATTTTTTTCCCCAAAAGCAATCGTTTCGTCAACACAAGTTTTTTGAATCATTCAAATCGGATGCTTATTTCTCTCAAAAACTGTCATTTTCGTACATTTAGCTCGGTATCTCGGAAACGGCTGGACCTGCCTTTGCCAAAAGCAAATCACCACTTCTCCCCGTCATTACGAATTGAATGTTTTTAAACTTGATTTCTATTTTCTGCACTCTTTGCACCGTATTTCCGAAACGGCTGGACCTGCCTTTGCCTAAAACTAATCAGCATATCTCCCTATCAATAGAAATCGAATGTTTTTTAAACCATTCAAATCGGTTTATCCGTGCGCCCGAAAACGTGGACAAAAAATTGTATCCATACATACACACACAAACACATCAATTTTTTCTGAGGCATGCCAAAATGTTCAGAAACCTTCAAAACATGAAGAAATGCAAAAATTTTCAATTTCGATTTTTGGACGATTATTTGGACAATAACTTACCCTACGAAAAGTTAATAATTATCTACTCTGTATATTTTTACGCAATAGTATTGCATATTAATTTGTAGTCCCATAATTTAATTATAATATCAATTGAGTAATTATGAAATAAAATTGTTAAAAAAATTAAGATAGGCGCAAAAAATATTTTATACGGGGGTTGGGGGGCTGTACTAAAAGGTTGGAAACTACTGCTGAAGATAAATAATTTTGTCATCTACGATATTATTTTAAAACACGCGATTTTAATAACTTATTTAAACTCGATACTCTGAAAAGTAGTAAAAAATGACTTAATCCAGGGGTTTACAATCTTTCTAAAACGCGGTCCACGTTTTTTATTATAGCGTTTCGTTATTTTTTCTACAATTTTATAAATATTCAACTAATATAGTTTATAACGAGCATCAAATAATTATGTAAAATAAAATATTATTAGCAACTTATAGTAAACGCAAAAAAATGGATAATGAAAATTTTTATATATATTTACGTTTCAAAGGTTTCTGAATATTTTGACATACTTTAGAAAAAATGGATGTATGTGTGTGTATATGTGTGTGCGTGTGGGTGTGCGAACGAAGACAGGTCTAGCCGTTCCGAAGATACGGGGCAAAAAGTGCCAAAAACAGTAACTCAGTTTTTAAGAGAACGGAGCGCCCGATTTGAATAATTCAAAAAACATTTTATTTGTATTGACAAGATGAATAATTGATCAAATTTTCATAAAGCTCTAATGAAAAAAGTAAAAAAATTGCCATTTGGCGGTCAAAACTGATCATTAGACATATGCACATCAAATTATCAGATATTTTATAGAGATTTTAACAATAAGTATAAATTTTGTTTACATTCCTATGGATTCCGTACCAATGTTCATCCGTTAGACGGCGACGCGGCGCTTACGCGCTTTGACAGTTCGTCTCTATGTAGTTAAAGCAGTATGAATGCTTTGAAAAAAGTTCAGAATTTCCAAAATATGTCAAAATAAAGAAAACATTTTTTTCAAAAAAAGTAATTTTTTATCACATACTTAACTTCTAAAAAATCTAATTTTTTCGAAGTAAAATTTTTTCAAAAATGTTAATCGTTTTTAAAAAAATAATAATTTTTGGTCCGGGAAGTTCCAGCAATTTGCCTTAAGGCACGATGCCATGCGCCCCACTAGTTTATTTACTCATTTTATATCAATTCAACTTTTTTAGTTTGCCTAAGGAGGCGTGTTCTGAATGTTGGGAATCGCTGGCTTATTTGCAGAAACTATAGAATTAAAACCAACAATTGTCTATTTAGAATAAATAATCTGCAATACAAACATATAAAAAATCGAACAATATTATATTACATCATTTCGCCGTTCACTTTACCTCGACTCGATATCCGCTGGGAGCCGAAAGCCCTAATTCTCTGAGTGTGACTGCAACATCAGACGGTGTACCATCAGATCGACGATTGACGAAAGCGACGGCATAAGAGTAGTAAGACTGGTACACTGGACTGATCGGACGCGACCAGATCTCTATTCCTTTATTCTGTAACAATAAATAAGTAAACTTTCACCTATCTTATAACTTATAGTTTGGCCAATTAAATGACAACTTCAACAGCAACTGTTATTAATTAAAATTATAGTTCTCTGTTTTAAGTTTTTTAACTGTAGCTATAATTACGAACCTTGTATATTCTTCTACCTTGAATGCCTAGTACATCTTGGTCCACAGCTATAATTTTTCGATTTTGCAAAATCGCTTTATACTCCGGACGAATAGTCCTCAAGTCAACCGACATTAGAAGTGGAGCAGCCATGATCGCCCAAAGTGCCATTTGTGTTTTGCTCTGCTCGTAACTCAAGCCAAAATTGCCAATGATCAACTATACAAAAGATCGAACAAAATGAAAAGGCAACATTAAGAAATGTGTAGATCCAAGGCAACGAACCATGTCAGGATCGTTCCAATGACCTGGGCCCGCGTTTGGAGTTATATCGTCTTGATTATCGCCGTAATAGTCGATAATAGTCTCCACGGAATGCCAGCTATCTTGAATGTCATCAAAGTTTCTCCATAAATTACAATGTTCTATTATAGCTGAATAGTTAGGCTAGAATGACCGACAGAATTTATGACTTATAAGTTGGAGATAAAATATTATATAGAATATTATTGCTGTTAATGTGATTCATGTACATTTCAAAGAAAATGAAAGAGATGAACAATAACTAAAAACATTTCTGATGATTTAGGTAAATAACAGCCAGAATAATGTATAAACAGTTTCGTGCAATATTAATACGGTAATGTTTTAGGTAGACAAAATTCAAAAACATTAGTACTTTAGTAACAGTTTTTCATTTTCGATTGTTCATTATGCATACTGATAACCCTCCGTCGGTCGGCGTGGTCTGGCTAGACTTTTTTCGACTTCAATTAAAAAAAAATACTTCTAGTAATCCTATCGACTTGAAATTCCTTGACTTTTCCTAAAACTTCATGAGCTGTCAATCAATGAAAAAATCAGGACGAAAAAATGTACAGAAGGATAATTATAAGAATATTAAATTTTTTATACTTCGAACGGTCGGAGTGGTCTGTCTAGACCACCCATACATTTTGTATGAAATATACGCTGTTTGATATATGTAAACCAGTATTTTGTCTTTTTTCTGGTATTTTCTATTCAAATTGCGTTTTATATATTCTTTGCTATGTGTTGTAACATGAATGTTAGTATTTTCACGACGAGAGTTCCTTGAAAACCTACCAAACTTATTGGTCATCGCAAACATTGAAAATCGGATGAATAATGCGCACATTATCAACAATTTTTTTACCCGTACTGCGTTCGAAATTTTTTTGGCAAACCTGTAGTGAAATTATATTTTCAACTTGAATTTTACAGCTCATTTCAAAGGCGACGCACCTCATTTCGTTTTCATTTGAATTTCCCATTCATTTCGAAAGAGCCGAAAAAGAATAAATATTGTACATTGATATAAAACAGAAAAATAAAAATAATAAAAAAGCAACGATTATTATATTCTTTGATTTTTTTATATAATATAATATAAAATATAATTTTTTTTATTATAAGGAAGCTCAACACATGCAAAAGACGGTAAAAAAAAAATCTAAACTGTAAATATTTACTGCTAATAATCGTTAATATATAAGACACCAAATACTCATTTATCCCATATAAATGCATGTAAAATGAATGGTGGTCCAGCCAGACCACTCCGACCGTTCGAAGGTGAAAAAATATCCGACCGACGGAGGATTAATTATCATTATATTTATAATATTATGCAGTTATCTTACTCGAATTCCGGCATAAATTTGATAAACAGGCCAACTGCACGAATAGATCATAGCTTTTCCTGTATTATTTAAATAAAATCCAAATTCTGGATACCCACGATCCATATCTGTAGGTAAAGAGTAACATCCATCTAACTTCACATAATCCACATCCCACGAAGCAAATGATTCTGCGTCTGAAATATAATTAATCATCTTTGAAACTCGGTATGATTCCATAATTTCATAAGATAAAAGATGACCAGAAGCATTTTTATTTATGGCCGAATTGGTAACCCAGATAGTAAAAAAGTTACTGTGTTGCGTTGTTTTCTATAACAATGCTACAGAATAAATATTCTTACCTTGCTGCATATGGCCAATGACCCCTGGGTAACCGGCACAAGTGTAATTGCCAAAATCTTGGTAAATTCCGAATTTGAGACCTCGGGAATGCACCTATATAAAGATCGAGTAACAGATGGATAAATAATTTATATCAGAACTCGTTGCGGTGTTATATAAAAAACAGATAATATCGCGACTTACTTATAACATTGAACTAAGGAATTATATTACATTAGGTAGATAAAACAACTATAAGCAAAGGAGGGCAAAAATTTGATCAACCTGTAACTATTTATTCATTTTTTTAACTTTCCGAAGGAGAAGTTTATGTTTTCATCAAAAAATCCGATTCGCTAATTTTATATTTTCTCGATGAGAACTACTGTTTGTCAGATTTGTGCGACGATGCCAAGGCCAAGCCGTTTCTTTATAAATCGCAGAAAAGTGAAAAATTTTTCGTCTACGTTTTAGCCTGCAACTCTGAATCGATTTTGAAAATGCAAAAACCGTTCGAAAGATATTGGTTGGGAATCGTGCTGATTAGTTTTTGGTAGAGATCGGCCGGGCCGTTTTCTTGTAATAAAGTTTAAAAAAAAATTCGACGATTTGCATGATTATTTTTTTGAAGGTAGATACCACAGTCTTCTAGATCATACTAAAATATTACGGCCCTACGACAACTTGTTTAGCTTTAAAAATTCGTCAAAGTTTGCAAAAAAGCCATTGATGTATTTCGGTGAGGACTATCGTTTGTCAGTTTTGTGCGACGATCTGCCAAGCCGTTTCTTTGTAATTTGAAAAAAAAGTGTTAAACTTTTCGTCCACATTTAAGCTCATCCTACCGAACCGATTTTAAAAAATCAAAAACTGTTCGAAAGATATAAGTTGGGAATGGTACTGATTAGTTTTAGGTGAAAATCTACCGAGCCGTTTTTTTGTAATTAACTGCCATGGTCTTATATAATAGAACTTACTGAAATATGACGGCCTTGCAAACAAATAGTTTGATTTTAAAAATTCATCAAAGTTTGAGAAAATGAGTAGTTTAACATTTGTTAAAATTAAAATTAGACTATTTACTTGGTATAATGATAGAGTACTTGGTCTTGAACATAGTAAACCATTATATAACTCGTATAAACAGTGTTTGTAAATATAATAGTACGAGAATGAGTAATAGTATTTGTGTAAATAATAGTACGAGAGTATATAACAGTGTTTGTAAATATAATAGTACGTTAATGAGTAATAGTATTTGTGTAGATAATAATACGAGAGTATATAACAGTGTTTGTAAATATAATAGTCCGTGAATGAGTAATAGTATTTGTGTAGATAATAGTACGAGAGTATATAACAGTATTTGTAAATATAATAGTACGTGAATGAGTAATAGTATTTGTGTAGATAATAGTACGAGAGTATATAACAGTGTTTGTAAATATAATAGTACGTTAATGAGTAATAGTATTTGTGTAGATAATAATACGAGAGTATATAACAGTGTTTGTAAATATAATAGTCCGTGAATGAGTAATAGTATTTGTGTAGATAATAGTACGAGAGTATATAACAGTGTTTGTAAATATAATAGTACGTGAATGAGTAATAGTATTTGTGTAGATAATAGTACGAGAGTATATAACAGTATTTGTAAATATAATAGTACGTGAATGAGTAATAGTATTTGTGTAGATAATAGTACGAGAGTATATAACAGTATTTGTAAATATAATAGTACGTGAATGAGTAATAGTATTTGTGTAGATAATAGTACGAGAGTATATAACAGTATTTGTAAATATAATAGTACGTGAATGAGTAATAGTATTTGTGTAGATAATAGTACGAGAATATATAACAGTATTTGTAAATATAATAGTACGTGAATGAGTAATAGTATTTGTGTAGATAATAGTACGAGAGTATAAAACAGTATTTGTAAATATAATAGTACGTGAATGAGTAATAGTATTTGTGTAGATAATAGTACGAGAGTATATAACAGTATTTGTAAATATAATAGTACGTGAATGAGTAATAGTATTTGTGTAGATAATAGTACGAGAGTATATAACAGTATTTGTAAATATAATAGTACGTGAATGAGTAATAGTATTTGTGTAGATAATAGTACGAGAGTATATAACAGTATTTGTAAATATAATAGTACGTGAATGAGTAATAGTATTTGTGTAGATAATAGTACGAGAGTATATAACAGTATTTGTAAATATAATAGTACGTGAATGAGTAATAGTATTTGTGTAGATAATAGTACGAGAGTATATAACAGTATTTGTAAATATAATAGTACGTGAATGAGTAATAGTATTTGTGTAGATAATAGTACGAGAGTATATAACAGTATTTGTAAATATAATAGTACGTGAATGAGTAATAGTATTTGTGTAGATAATAGTACGAGAGTATATAACAGTATTTGTAAATATAATAGTACGTGAATGAGTAATAGTATTTGTGTAGATAATAGTACGAGAGTATATAACAGTGTTTGTAAATATAATAGTACGTTAATGAGTAATAGTATTTGTGTAGATAATAATACGAGAGTATATAACAGTGTTTGTAAATATAATAGTCCGTGAATGAGTAATAGTATTTGTGTAGATAATAGTACGAGAGTATATAACAGTGTTTGTAAATATAATAGTACGTGAATGAGTAATAGTATTTGTGTAGATAATAGTACGAGAGTATATAACAGTATTTGTAAATATAATAGTACGTGAATGAGTAATAGTATTTGTGTAGATAATAGTACGAGAGTATATAACAGTATTTGTAAATATAATAGTACGTGAATGAGTAATAGTATTTGTGTACATAATAGTACGAGAGCATATAACAGTGTTTGTAAATATAATATAGTACGAGAATAAGTAATAGTATTTGTGTACATAATAGTACGAGAGTATATAACAGTGTTTGTAAATTTTTTGTATATCGAAAATAATTCAGATTTTATTTTTTAATTCTGACTATAGTTCTAATATACTTTAAACAAATAATTTCAACTTTGCAATTCTGTTGATATAATTCTTATAAATATTAGACAATGTTACAATAATTATAATAATCTATTTGAAAACATTCCATATTTTTCGAACATTTCTTAACGGTACGGGAAGTTTCATCAATTTGCCTTAAGGCACGATGCCATACACCCCACTAGTTTTATTTTATGTTTTGTATTTTTTAAATAAAGTTGGTTTAATTTTTTGTGAGTGTTTTTCCTGGAGTAGTATGTATCCATTTTTTACTTGTTTAATTTCTTTTAATCTATATTTTAAATTTAATATTTAAAACTTTGTAATAAATTCTTTTATATATTGTTTTTTTTTGACATTGTGGAATAATGACACACATACCTTGTCGAAACGTACTAAATAAATAGATCATTATTTATTGTTCTGTTGTTTCGACGATTGGCTACAAATTAAAATTTCAAGAATATGTCTTAACGTCGAACAACAAAAATCAAAATCTGATATACATACATACATGTATATATATATATATATATATATATATATAACATCGCTTATGTCGTGACTTCCATGTACCATTAAGCTTTTAATGGTACGTTGACCAACATAGGCCTTGCTTGACCCTTCGTACCCAAGACGGGTAGATTATGGGTCTTAATATCAAATGTATTACACAATACGCAGACACACGATTACACTTTCTCCGCGCCGTATCACGAGAGCGGACGATTAAAAGAAAACGTCGAGGAGCCAAACATTTACAAACAAGTACACTGAGAATCCACAAACTGATAATAACATCTATTAAATACTCGTTATAAACGGCTATTAAATATTTACAGCACAGTAATTCAAACCATTGTGAATGGAGCCTAAGAAATAAGAAATTCCAATTCATTTCGATTTCTGCGTAAGCATGTATAAATACAGGAATGTTGGTGCTAAATGTGTGATGTTTATAATCGGAGCAAAAAATAATTAATCTAAATTGAATGTTAAAATACTTTTTTATCTAATTGATCAAGTTATCTTTCGCCTAGCGTCGTTTTACAGAGTTTTTAACATATTATGTAAAGCACTTTCTCTATCTGATTACTATCTAAAATCGCCACCTATACATTTGACATACATACATTCAAATATATATATATATATATATATATATATATATATATATATATATATATATATATATATATGTGTGTGTGTGTGTGTGTGTGTGTAATAATTTTTCAGGTGGTGAAAGATAACTTGATCACTTACAATTAGATAAAAAAGTGTTTTCACATTCAACAATTAAAAACAAAAACGTTTTTTTAACAGGCATCAATCCAGTTATAAATACGTTTTAAATAAAAACTAGACTATGTTCAATTTATTTTTAATGAATTTCTACACCAATTTGACCTTTCTTCAGTGTATGAAACACACAAATTGTTTAAAAATACATTAAATAGACATAAGGAACAAAGGACTTCATTAAAACTTACTCAAACGTGATAAAAATTCAATGATGCCAAAATACATTTCTTAAAGACATTTTGAATGCATCAAAGTTATACCGAATTGGTTAATTCATAAAGATGCGATCATAAACACAATAAACGATGAAATACAAACACATTCAGACAATTATTTATTAGTATTACAAAAGCTGCCTCGAGGATCATCCAAACCCACTTGCCAGAAAACTACACCACAACGTTACCAGGGCAACATTAAAAAGAAATTCATGTTATATTAAAATATGTCGAATTGCAATATTTCTGACAATGGTCAGAAGATTTTGTATTTTTGAAGTCATTTTTTTCTGCAGTTTTACTTGTTGTCCATTCAAGACAGATGTAAAAATACTATATAATAATAATAAAAATATAGAACAGAATAATATATTAAATTAAAGAAATTAACTCATTTTTTAAACATCCCGCCAATATTATTTTCGGTTAAATAATACTTTTATTTAATTTTTCAAATTAAATAAACATTTTTTTTCACAAATGTGACGATTAATCAAGTCTATATATAGTGCAATAAAAATTTAATTGTTATCAATGATGAAAAGAATTTGAACAAAAAAAGATAAATAACTTTAAAACA